ACACGCATTCACACACGTACATCACACACATACATCACACACACGCTCACACATACGTACATAGGCTCACACACGTTTACACACAACACGCAGACACAGTCTCTCTCTCATATATATATATAGATATACACATCACAGACATACAACACACACGCTCACACACAACACACATACATAGTCTCACATACATATACATGTATATACACATCACAGACATACAACACACACGCTCACACACAACACACACATACATAGGCTCACACACATTTGCACACACATTAGTACACACATGCATCACACGCACACACACACAAGCTTACACATGCTTTTGAGCGTCGCAGGCTGGGCCACGAAACCGCGCAGCCGTCTGGTGCCACGACCGACGGGATGCCGCCGTGCGGAGGGTCGCCAGCCTCTTGCGGGGCAGTGGCGGGACCAAGCGCCGCAGCGGGGTGGCGGCGGGGCGCCCGGCGGGGCCAGCGGCGCCGGGGGCAGAAGAGGGGGGGCAGCGCCTGGCACCGCCACGCAGATGGCGCCGGGAGCGGCAGGCGGCGGTGAACGAGAGCCCCGAACTGGAGGACGAAAAAACGCCATGGCGGATTGTCAGGGGGGGGGGGCCAATCGGGGGGTGAAGAAAAGGGCCCTAAAGGGGCCCCGTAGGGCCCCCTTTGGAGCCGACTGGTGCCCACAAGGGACTCTACAGCGCCCCAGTTCTTGCCTTTTTTGCACCCCCCCATTTTTAGGTCAGCCCCCATTACCACGCGCGACTGGGGTGAGCCACGTCCGATATAGAGGAAGAAACAACGGCGTAAACAGAAACTGACGGCGCTCCGCGCGGGTTTTTTGGATCCGCGCTGGACCCCCTCCCCTTGGCGCGGGGAGCGCGCCAGGGGCGGCGCCGAGGGCGCCGACGGGGGGGGGCCATGCGCCGACCCAAGAAATCCGCGTGGAGCCCCAAGAGTTTATGTCTATAGTGTTTTTGCTTGGCTTCTAGCTCGGGGCTCCCAATGGTCGACCCCCATGTCTGGACCCCTTCCCCGGGAAACGGTTGTTCATCCTGAGTCGTTTTTTGACGGCCTCGAGGCCCAGGAAAGGCCCCCGGAGGCCCAAAACAGAGAAAAGCCATTCGTCGTGACTGTCTCGTCTCCGAGGCGCCGGGGAGTCCGTCGCAGGCGCACCTCGAGGCCAGCGAGCGTCCAGGCGGCGTCGCCCCGGGCGGCCGAGCGCGGGGCGCAGCGCGGGGGGGGGCGGTCCAGGCCGCCCGGGGCGGCCGAGGCAGGAGTCACCGCACGCACGCACGCACGCACACGCACGCACACACGCACACACGCACACGCACACGCACACGCACACGCACACGCACACGCACACGCACGCACACACGCACACGCACACGCACACGCACACGCACACGCACACGCACACGCACACGCACACGCACACGCACACGCACACGCACACGCACACGCACACGCACACGCACACGCACACGCACACGCACACGCACACGCACACGCACACGCACACGCACACGCACACGCACACGCACACGCACACGCACACGCACACGCACACGCACACGCACACGCACACGCACACGCACACGCACACGCACGCGCACACGCACCACGCACCACGCACACGCACACGCATACGCAGACGCACACGCACCACGCACACGCA